CAGTGGATGCACAAAACAAGCTAATGTTTTGTGCATCCACTTTGTTTCAAAACAAGCTAACAAACTAATGTAAAGATGCGAGCTTGGTGTACGCATATTTATCGGTGTTACGGCATGTTGACTCATACACAAGCAAGATCCCCAAGCTTAGCAGCATCGAGATCTCAAGCACTGGCTCGTCCACATACCACATACCTAACAGAAAGGCTCGAGTACAAAAATGCAACAAGCATGTGTCAAGACAAGCTATACGTCTCAGGCTTGTGCGAAAGCTTCGAAGTCTGGCCATTTAGGTTAGTTTAGAGACCAAAAATGACGCTCTCGGGACCAGAAAACATGAGATAACAGCCGTTAATAGTGCACGCTCTGTGTATAATCTCCTGTCGACGTCTCGATCGAAACCGAAACCATGCAGCTCTCCTCCCTGACCAACTAGTTCCCAGAGTGCAACACATGCAGTGTTGCATGCAGGGATTTATGGAAGTAGTCTGTTCTGACGCGCAGACAGATTTAGCTTCCAGGTATTCACAAAGTAAACTGCTGCCGATTCTACTGGGCAGGTAAAATAATGAAGCTTGAACACATAACCGATAGAACAGATTTTATAAAACTTGCGTCAATACACAAATAAATACTGTGCACTAGTAGCTGTTGTCGGAGTCCGACGATGGTTTTTGTTGTGCACAGAGGTAATCCTTGCATTTGTCTAGAGCGTTTTGATTACCACGCTTCTTGAGCATGTACGAGTGCGTCACCGTCGCCTCTGGGAGGGTTCTTCCAAACAACACTTTGCGAGCTCGTCGGATCACGCAGTGCCGCTCCGTTGTTATTTTTCCCTGCTAGCGTGATGGCCTTTTGTTTAAATAAAGCCTCCAGGTGCAATTGCTTTTGTTTTTTCATTTTAAAACGGCAGACACGAGTCCGTAGACGTGAGAGAATGTGCGTGATACGGATACCAAAATGGCGAATGTAAACAAGCAATCACAATGTCTGTTGGGCTAGTCACCTTAAACCGAGCACTGCTTTTTTCTTTTGAGTTTCGATTTTTGTTCTCTATCGGAACGTGCATGTAGTTTTGGGCACCAATTTTGGTGAAAAAATATGCGTACTAGAATTGTGCAAACACGGTAGTCTGGACATTGTAATGACATAGTCATGACATAGTTTGCAGTTCCTTTAACTGACTATCCTTGCTGATGATAGCCACCTTTAACTGCAGTGTGTTTTCTGAGCTTGACTGTGCAATGCTCTGAATAAGCAAAAGCTATGGGAAAAATTGAGTGGCAGTCCCACGACGTGATGCGTTTAGACAGCAACAACAAGGTCGTGATGTGCTTTCCCGTCAAGTTTAGCGTGGAAACTGAATTGGTGCTTAAGTCACGTGGCATAAATCTTTATGCTAAATTCAGCGGGGAATTAGTAATTTGTCTGTAGAGCCTGTGATGTCGGGTCACGTGACATCAACATATTTTTTCAACAAATTTAGCGGAGAAACTGAATTGGTGCCATAGGGCATGTGACGTAATATTTTCCGCTAAACTTAGTGGGAAACCTGAATTTGTCTGTAGGTCCCAAGACGTTGGGTCATGGGACATAAATTTTTCCGCCAAATTTAACGGGGAAACTGAATTGGTGCAAAGGTCATGGGACGTCAATGTTTCCGCAGAATTTAGCGGGGAAGCTGAATTCGTGCATAGGTCACGTGACAAAAATATTTCTAATAAACTTAGTGCGAAACCTGAATTTGTCTGTAGGTCTTGTGACATCAATTTTTTGCCAACTTTAGTGGTGAAACAGATATTTAGTATATGTAGGTCAAATGATGTCAGTTTTTCTGCTATATTTAGCGGGGAAACTGAATTTGTTTACACTCACGCCATCATGAAACCGGGGGGACTGGCCACTAACAGCTGTCACTGTACAATGTTGAACGGGAGTACTTGGTTTATGAATGTTATTTGCTTTTTTTTTTTGAAGGTCAGTCAAGGTATTTGGGTCACGGAGACACCCCCAACTTCTTTGCAGTGAAGATAATTTTACATTGAAGTGCCATTCCTTGTAGTGGTTCAGGTCGAATTGGTATTCATAGTTTTGAAGGAGGAGGCAAACATGAACAGGAAGCTCCAAATGCAGCTTTGTGTTTGTGTTTGTCCTCTCGTACACCATGTTCCAGGGTTGAAAAATCCATATTAAACTGACTCGCTTATATGCTTGTTTCAACCTCATCAGGAGCTGCACTTGCGGGTAGCTTCATCTACCATGAAGCTAGAGTAGGCTCTAGCCACCCCTTCTTCCATCCCCACATCACCTAGATGCCACAAATCAAGCTCTAGTTGCAGTGATGTGGTGAACTTTGTTGTGACGTGATCTTTCTTACTTTTTCTAATTTTGGCATCAAGATCTGCTGTTTGGGTGAAATACGTGACGGAGCCGTGCTTTTTGCCTCTGAATACAATCCAGAATCGTGACGCAGGGAGTTGTGAGCCTCATGTCATTGCTCTCGGAGCGTAAAAATTCCGGGGACTGAAGTGTTGGAACGGAATGCAGGGAAGGATCTGCAATCTGAGGCTCTGGAGCCAACGTTGCCCCCTTCTAAAACTCCTTGGGAACAAGTGTTCTATGAAAGCCCCACATTTTGGGTCAAAAATGGCTGCATTCCGTGAAGCGTTCAACCTTTCTTCCAAACAAGGTGCACACTCAAGAGGTGCTTACTCTCCTTTTTGTGAGGAATTGCGATTCAAAGTGGCAGGATTTTCGAGGCTTTTTGTAAAAAGACACTCTTGGCGACAAAGCGATAAGCTGTCTTTGTCTTTCTCTGGTACTTCCTTCTGGGTACACCTGTTCTTGCTCTTCATCACTGTTTCAATGGCAGTTTTCCAGTTTGGGCTATTTGAACCATGGAAGCATTTCTTTGAGGCCATCTCCCAACTGCAGTGGCTCTTACGAACAAGAGGCTCAGGGACCGTGCACTAGCGCAAATTTTGCTAGTCCGTGCATCCTAGACGCACTCTAATGCTTTCCCCTCCGTCTGTCTGTACTAGTTGAGTTTGAGCCAGTTGTAACAAAGACCTCTCTGTGTGAAAAGAATGTCCAGTTGTGCTGCCATGAGCTGTTGCATGTTTGCTGGTGATGTTGCATGGCCCTGCTGGGCTCTACAAGGGCATGATGACTGCCACCTGTCGAATGCCCGCCCGCTTGCAGAGAGGAAACCTCGTCTGCCAGTGGGCTTGTTCATTTACCTGCTCCTGCTGCACTAGCTGCATTTGGTGCATACTGCAGCCTATCTTAAAACAAATATCGGAGGTAGATTGCCCTGCACTTTTCTGCACCGGCAAAGACTGGTGCAGCTAAATCATACTAAAGTAACTGGATCTTGAGAAATTAGCACCAAGCTTCCCGTTCAATCGCCCTATTGGTCAGTGGAATGGGCAGTTTTGCCTTGACCGCTCCATTCTTTGCGAGCCTATTTAAATTCGCAATGACAGGTTGCTTTACAGAAACATTTCTTGTATACTGAGATTTTTCTATCCATACACCAGCGAAACAAGCACACATCTCCGCACTGCCACCACATCTAGCGTCAGTGCTTGGCAGCATTGAAAAATAAGTTTCCTGTCTTAAAATATGTAAGAACGTTATCTTTGTCAGAGATCTGTGAAGATACTTAAGCGTGATTGATAAGTTACACAGTGAAAAGGACGCTTATATTAGCGAGGAACTCTTTCACTACTATGAAACTCCATAGCAATCTTGGCGTGGCTGGTTCAGGGCGACCCTTTCGAAGCTTTGAACATTTGAAAGGGCCAAAATGGCAAATGCCATGACAACAAAGCCTGATAAGCCAATCGCATTACGAGGTTTCGGTCCCCTTTGTGTTAGTATCGATTTGTGTCCAGCTAGCAGGCAGGGAATTGGCAACGGCGCTACTTTCCTGGGATCCAGCGACTTTAATTCAAACTAGCCTAGTGTTCATTGACATTCTTTGGGATATAGCAGGAATTCTCAAAGTGTACTACAAAAGAACAAAAACAAGGATTTTAAGTATTACAATTTTCTTTATATTTATTTTGTTAGCATCGGCACCAGGGGTGTTACATTACGTTGAACAGACAACCCAAAATGGTGTAGTGTAAGAATTATTGGGGTTTATTACAATGATAATGGTTAATCACTGCCTTTTTGAGGCAGTTGGTATTAATAATTCGAGTTTAGTCCGGGAAAATTGTTCCAATTCAACGAGGGTACAGGAATAAAAAGGAATTATGAACTACATTCGTACTGAAATACAAAATGCCAACTTAGTGTCTGTGGTCGATGCACACTGATAAGTATTGGAGTTGCGCAAGCAACCTTTGCCTGCGAGGAAAATTGTAAAGGTATATTTAATGAAGCAAGCCCAAGCGGGACTCTTTTTTTCATTGGGGAAGGTTAAGTAATGACTGAAGCAGGAATGTTTGTTTTTTACTTTCGAGGTGTTGCTGTGTGAGCATGTGGTAGGGCATGATAAGTGTTCTCTAACAGATTTAGTAAATTGAAGTTTAATACACTGAATCCTTATTTTATGTACTACTGTTATTAGTAAACTGATGACCGCTCGATGTGCACGAGCTTAGAAACGCACCTTGGCAAGCCGACGACTTTTTAAACAGGTGGTACTCGATTTTAATGACGAAGTTTGGAAGAACCCTATCGATACGTTTTTCGAAGGACTTTGGTAAAAGCAAACTCGCAATACGGGAAAAGGGAAGAACCTATAACTCTCGGGGACGCCGTGGTCGAGACGACTGCTGCCCAGCCACGAGCACAAAGACTCGAGACATAGCTCTAGTCGGGCGTCGCCCCATGTCGAGCCGAGCCCAAGGGCGCACCGGGGAAGGCGTCCAAAGCCCCTCCGTGCGTGCGGCGGACCTTGCGGCTCGTCGGCCGTGGCGTCTCTCGGGGGCCCGTCCTCACGCTCCCTCCCCTCCCTTCCCTCCCCTCCCCCTCTGTCTCTCCCTTAGCTCGGTCTCCAGGGAGGCTGACACCCGGCCCTACGAGGAGATTGAGTTCAAGAAGGGTAAGAGCAATCGTGCCAGCGACATTTCCATCAAGGTTACCGAAACCAATGGCCAGCTCAGCACCCCTCCCCTGATGGCGTCGCCCGTGCGCAGCGGTGAGTGCCGTCCCCCGGGGGGCGACGAAAGGGGTCGGGCCCAATCCGCTCTTCTATGCTCCGCTTCGCTTTACGACGAGTCGTAGCGGATGCCGCGAGTTGCCAAAGCCAATCCAATACAGAGAGCAAGTCGTCTGCTTCTTGCGCAGGGGTTGCGACGACGTCTGAAAGTCGCCGATCTCTGATTGGCTCTGATTGAAGGATCGTAGATAGACCGCAAAGAAAGCTGCCTCGAGGTGTACCCACTATTGTTCATTCAGAACCAATCAGAGCTCGGAGTTCTGACGTCACCGGAACCCCTGCAAAAGAAGCAGACCAACTTGCGCTGCGCATAGTGTGGCCTTTTAGAGCGGCACTCCGAGGCGCAGTCGCGCCATAAGTTGGCGGCTGTGGATTTGTCGTAAGGTGAAACGAAACATAGAGCTTGGCGAGACGCGGGTGGGGCATGGTACTCCCTGTTACGCAAATGCTACGAGGCTTTTTACGGGCATCGACCGAATCTGTGTGTCTGTCCTACAAACAAGCATGATTCCAAGCTTGCTCCCCTGTGATTGAACTGACGGTTCTTGTTTGAACAACCAGGGCTTGCGATACGACTCGACAAAGAGTTGCCCCATTTTAATGCATGGATGTGACGCCTTGACTCATCCTGTCACTGTCGTAAACTCTGTTAACTTCCTTCGGAAAAAAGGTGCTTTGTCTTCACGCCGCGCGGCCGCTATGAAATGCGGCACGATTCTGTTTCCGACACAGAGTTGAAAATTGTGTGTGCCTCAACCTGCTCACCTTTAATGCCGTTTTTGGTGAAAGACCGAGGAGATTGGAAGGATTTCCCGAATCGACCATGAGACCTAACAACTCTGGTGTCCCATTTATAGTAGTGCAGTTTCTGATGTCACAAACCGGAAAACGGTGGGGTGTCGTTGTCTGCTGTGTCACTGATGCTCTGCGGCTGTTGCACTTTGACTCTGTTGGAATCGCCTGTCTCTAGACTTTCAGTGTTGCTTTATAACAGAGCTCAGTCTAGTTCCAGATGAAAGGTAAGCCTTTTAAAGGGTGCAGTGCTTTCAGGCTTCTGAGTTCCCAGTCCGCCAGCAGCTTCTTCTGACCGAATGGGCTTCATACAGTGAGGCTGGCTCTGGTTTTCTTTATTACGCTTCGATGGGCTGGCCTGTTGGGCTCATGGGGCATGTTGGAGTGGCCAAGAATTGTTCAGGGTTGTCCCAGTCATCAACTGGGAGAGAACTTCTCTGTATAGACCGAACGTTTCACGGCAGCTGGCAAATTGCCCAGAGAAAAGCTGGACAGAATGCTCGGAAAGTACCATTATGTTTCAGTCGAGCTCTCCTGTTGCCAGTGTTTCTCGTGCTGTTTGTTTGTACCTTTTCTCGTTTTACCGTGTGTTGAATTGTGGTAGCAACAAATGTTTGTAGTCGCTACGTTTTAGTTGCTGCATCCTGGGAAGCTCATTTCATTTAGTGTCTTAGGTTAAAACTGTGCTTGTATTTTTGCTGCTCAAGCTCCCTGCTAAATTTAGCAGGGAGTTGATTTAATGTTGAGGTCATGTGACGTCAATTTTCCCCGCTAAATTTAGTGGGGAAGCTGAATGGGAGGAGGAAGGGAGAGGAGGGGATGGAGGTGGAGGAAAAGGGGAGGAGGAGCACCATACCCTGCCCTCCTCCTCCTGAAGAGCTACACTCTAATTTCGCACGACAAAGATTTGTAAACATCGTTTTTTTTTCTTTTTATTATAGCTGCTTTTGGCATCACTGTTCTTTACTTTTGGGGGAATATGAACTTGAAATGTCTTTCAAGGGTGTATTTATTTCTTCTTTACAGCTTTGTTCAAATGCCTCATGTAGAACTTTTTTCTGTGGGAAAGTGGAAGAGGAAAGCCATTTAGTAGTGGGTATTGAAAAATGTCTAAGATCTTAATGAACAAAAATTGCGTGGTGATAGATTCTTCATGTACCGCAAGTCAAAAGCGTTTTCTTCAAGTTGCTTAGATACAGTCGTTAGTGGCACACTCCCTTTAATCCGAATTTCGACTGAAATAGAGCAGGCAGGCAATTTATAAGGGAAAAGATTTTTTTCTTGCAATATGTAGTGCTGTGCCTATGTCACCTGAGCTGAGCCACCAACGTTTAATGGAAATAACGTTCCACGAGCACACTTGTTTTGCTGGGGAACCACATTGTTGTAGAGTGTGACCTAGCTCACCCGTAAATTACTAGAAAATACAGCACATTTTATGACATATTATATTCTACTTACACTACTATTGAGAGAAAAAAATAGAATTCTAAATGCGCCCCAGTGGGCGCATTTAGAATTCCTCACGATTGTGAGCTCGACATTGTACCTGCGAGGCTGCGCCCATTAGTGGGTAGACGCTGTAGGAATTCGCGTACCGCCGCCGATTCGCCATTTCCCACGTGGTCCGTCAACGACCCGAGTCCAGCCTGGTTCTTTCACGGGAGCGGGATTCCGCTCCCCGTTTATTGGTACATAAGACACAATGCTACAAAACACTCAATTTAAACTACAAATACACGCAACATTACACAAATCTTTACAAACGCACGTTAAGCCAAAGCTAAACACAAAGAGGGCCCCCAGGCCTCGTGTCCCGCGATTACCCTAGATCCGGTCGTCACACACTTGCCTGCATCTCGGTCTTGTCCAGAGTTCTAAGAGGCCTCTCGCCCCCTGGTCCACCGAGTATCTATTGATCGATGGGCGAGGAGAATTCTCCTCGCCCGCCATGGGGCGCCTGCAGCGCCATCCAGTGGCTAGGAGAGAAAGCGGCACGTCGGGAGCCGAATTCGAGATCCCGATCAACCCCGCGGCGACTTGACCACTTGATTGTGTCTGAGGAGAGGCAACTTTCGAGGTTGTCCAGAACTACCACGCTTATTTAAATACGGGCCGACCCTTTTTTTCAGGAACTGTTACTTAAAATGAGGGGTCTGTCTTCAATGTGTTTTACCGATTATCAGCCAGACGTTTTGTCTAAAAACTGAATTGCACAAAAATTTGATTGGTACCATATCAGCCGCATCCCAAGATTGCATCTCGCTTCAACGATGTGCTCATGTGGATTTTTTGTTTCATATATGCGTTTTCGCTCCACCATTCTTGTGCCTGAAACACGTGCGGTAACGTTTGCACACCACCACTTTCTCTAAGTCTCGCCATACTTTACCAATGTAATGCTTTTCTATGAGGTTTAGCAGGTTTCTAATTGGATACATACATATATGTTTACTAATTAAAAAAATATATTTATGCAAAAAATGATTGAAGGCTTAATTATACAAAATTGCTAGAGGCTCGTGAGCCAGTAGCGACCTTATATTAAAATGAAATACATTTTCAATGAATCAGTCATTCCAAAAAGCTATATAGCTGACTAATAGACCTTTTTCAAAATCAAAGCGATCAGTCCTTGATTTTAAAGGATAGTGCTGGCAGAGAAAATCTTCCAAGAATGTATCAACAAGGTTCTACTGAACTTGGCAACAAGACGTTGGGTTCGACGGAAAGAAAACACTTGACACGTTACACGGATACACTGTGCCACATGTCACTGTGGTTCCTTCGTTAGTTAAATTTATATTTGAAACTGCACATATTGAGATGAGTGCTATCTTTAAATGTTCGAATACACATGGTATAAAAATTAGCATTTGGTATGGAGTGCATTTTTTTTCCTTCAGACTTTGCAGGGTTTGAAGTGTACACTGCAGGTGCAGATGATAGGGTTGTAAGGGAAAGAAAGTTCCGCGCGACTGACTTGTCAGTCGCAGGGAAATCTCGCCCGAGCCTGGGCACATTATTGGGCTCGTTCGATTTACCTGCACCAGACTTCACTGTAGCAGGAAAGTGTAGCGCGGTGCAGGAAAGTGCGGGACAATGTACTTTTAGTTGTGTTTTGAGATAGGCTGCACTCATAAATTGAATGCGGCAGTGCACACCGATTGCAACTGGTGTAGGAGGTGCATGTAAATCGAACGAGTCTATCGTGGTTTGTTCTACGGTCGTGAATTTGTGGTTGCACACACTCGTAGACTTCATTCAGTTCGTCATCTTGTTCGAGCTGGACGTTGGACATGTCTTACATGGTACAGCAGCATCTGGCTGCTTCAGAGCAACTGTGTCTGCATTGTAAAGTTGAATCGCTGTGCCGGGGCAAGGTGTCTGCCCTGCAGGGGAGAGCTTGTGGACTGTGTGCAGATCCGCAGTGCGTTGCGTGCGGCACTAGCTCCCGCATGAAGTGCATTTGGCTCAACGACGCGGAGTTCTCGTTCCTGCGCTACCAGCCGTGGCAGTGCCTGCGGTGCGCCGTCAACCGGTCCTTCGAGGCCGGCCAGCAGACGGCCGAAGTGGCGCGCCGCAACTTGTGCATCTGGTTCACCCGGGTGACGCGCCTCAAGGCCAACTACACCGAGCTGCAGTGCAAGGTGCTGCCGGCCCAAGGTCAGGCCGATGTCGGGGCATGCCTAGGCTCGGCCGCGACGTGGTGCAGCCGGCGGTGCCGTCTTGGTCTCTGGGGACTGCGGGGGCGTCGTCTTTCTTGCACCTCGGAATCCTCGGGCATCTAAAACGCTGCTCCAGCCGGGTGTGAGCCCGTTCGTCACGTGTGGATTTGTCATAGGCTAACTGGTAATGAGCCCGTTCATTGCAGCGGAACATTCGTCGTAGGGTAATTCGTCGCTAGGGGAATTCGTCACTGAGTGAACTGGATACTGGGATTAGCACAACAAGGGCACTGATATTCGATTGGTATTACGCAATAAAGGGCATATGTGATAGAAGAAAAAGAAATTGGTTTACTAATTTCGGTTGTAGTTGGTTGCTATAAAAATCCATACGTTATAAACATTATGCCTTACTTGCACTCTTTGTACTGAAAAGAGGCAACACCTAAATGAGTGATAGTAATGCTTAAAAACAGAAGATTCAGTGAGGCGCAGTAGAAACATCCTAAAAAAGCAATG